TTTTACATTCCTTAGTTTAAAGATCAGATAGTGTATTTGCTTTGTAAGTAGACTCATTACAATATATAATACAAAAATAAAATAAATTGCTGCAAAGAAGCCATTTCTCTGAGCTTACTGAGATTTGCAACATTCTTGTGGGTGCCATTCACTGTTCTAATGGAGCTCAGGGAGATGTCCTCCCCAGGAGTAATTAAACCTTTATTAATGCATGTAGTCTTGATTCTTCTGTTAAAAAAAAACCCCAAACAAACCAAAAAACCATACAAACGATCTTTCTCCATGAAACTAATTTTGCATGATAGCAGAAGTATTATAAAAGTAACCAGGGATTGTAAAGTACTGAAATGTACACTACTTTCTATACTAAATATACTTTTGCAAGTTTGAGCAACAAAAAGCCTTAGATGCCACTGTATCCCTGCCTACCCCAACATCTATCAACATATGCTCTAAAGAGCATATTCAGGTTTTATACAATTCTGATGACTCTTAGTTAATGACAGACAGGAAGACAACCCAAGATAGTATTTTCAGCCCCAGTAGCTGCCAAGGTAAGTGGTTATGACACAGTAAACTCAGTCAGCTTCCTCCCAGGTCTGTGTATAACACAGAGTGACCAGTGAGGTCATTCTGGTGTTTCTTACACGCTTCTGTCAATATTAATCTTAACCCCAATCTGAGCCAAACTCTCTAACTTAACCTCTCCTGTCATTTTAGCATATGAAAACAAATACCCTTTCCTTTCAGGTGGATTTAATCTGAAAACTCTCCTTTACTTCTGTTATGCAGCTCCAGTACTCATAATAACATCTAAAATAGAGTTAATTCCTCAGATTACAACTGCAGCCAATGGCATGTTAAGCAGCTAGTGTTAATCTCAGCACCGGGCAATATTCAAAATCCTATAAAACAACTGGAGCACACAAGCCTTCCCTATACTAACAGAGCTTTGCTAGTGAAAGCAAGTTTTGCAGAACTCACAGAGAATTGGCATATGCAGCCCCCTTGGTTATTGTACAAGTGCAAACGAACTTCCTCTCCCTTCCAGAGTACTTCTAAAACTTCAGATTTGTTTTTTAGAGAAACTCTACAAGCAAGACTGCATTGTACTGGGCTCCACTCTGCCCGATTTGAGAGTGAGAAAATCCCATGTTACCTCCATGGGAAAGAGAGCGCATGACCCACATGCAGGCTCCTCACTGGGTGCCCATAAGGGCAGCATCAGCACTGGCTCCTAGTGTGCCTTCAGGTTTGTGTAATTTGTACCCCTTAATCTCTGATAGTGTTCAGAATGGAATTAAGGACAATATTTTTCAGAACTATGTCATGTATACACAACTGCTGTACTCGACATATGCCTAGCATGAGGTACTCAAATAAAAGCCGCAAGTGCCATACAAGCCCATCCAGAGTCAGAAGTTCAAAATGAGAAAAAAAAAAGGTAACATTATTTGTAAGATGAAAAGAGTATTATAATGGGAGTTCACTTTTAAAGCCAAAACCAAAAAAATTTGTTTAATGCAGCTTACATCTGTCTAAAATTAGAATGAGTGTCCAGATGACATTTTAATCACAGTGATACTGTACGAAAATCAGCTCATGTTCAAATTGTATCTCCTAGTGAGATAACAATTTCCAATGCACTGAAGAATCTATCACCTTGTTAATACAGATCTAAAATAGGAATGAAGCTATTTAAGTCTTTATAAGACATTACATTTGACAAAAATAGCTATTATTAACCTATCATATCCGCAGTACCAGAACAGGGAATGAACTGAGGTACACTTTTGAAATATTAGTTGAAAGTACAGTTCACTATTGTAAAGGTAAAGCATAAGGATTGTGTATTTTATACAGAAGTGTTTTGAGAAAACACAGAGAAAAGTAAAGGTTATGTCTTTGTAGTTAAAGTTAGAACTTCTTACATTGCTTAAAAGGTTTTAAAAGGGAAATAATTTGCACTAACTTTCACCACATACCAAACCTATACCAATTAAATCTACTGAGCTGGTAAGTAATTTTCATGCCTTTCAAAAGGAAATATTGCCTAGACGAATGGAGTGAGGTGCAGCGAAAACTGCCTGAATCCTATACCCTGCTGGCAGCCAGCAACAAGGACAGCCCTGCAGGGGACAATTCTGTGGCCTGTGTCAATCAACATCTCACCCGTGACCTGGACAACACCACAGACTACATGCTAACAAGTTTACAGAGAACACTAAATCAGGAGGATGAGACATCACACCAAATGACAGAGCTTCAATCAGAAGCACCTTGCTCGGCTTGAGGACTGGCCAGAAGACACTTCATGAAGTTCAAGAGAAGTGCAAAGGTCTGTACCTGGGACAGAAAAATCCCATGTGCTAGGAAAGGATGGATGAACAGCAGCCCTGCTGAAAAGCAGCAGGCACTTGCAGTGGGCGCCAGGCTGCAAAGGAGTCCACAGTGTGTTCTCATTGCAACATAGGAAAGCCTGTACTGCACTACACTGCCAGGGGAGTGGAAAGCCCACTGTTCCCTGGGACTCAGTGCTTCTGAAATTTCACAGGTTGTCTAAAAATTACGATTTGGATAGAAGCCCCTAGACATATCATCTGTTAACCCATGCTCTTTAGAAGCAGCACAAAATATGTCATGATGTCCCCCAGGGTTACAGGACAATTTTGATAAAAGATTTTGCACAGAATCCAGAGAATCCTGCACTATAAGAAACTGCTTTATGGTACATTTGCTAGCACTTCTCAATTTCTGATGATGACTGCAAACATTTTGTGATGCACTGTTTTGTGTTTCCTCTACTTACTAATTAACTAATTTAACACTCAGTAGGCTTAAAAAGTGTCTCCAATAGAAAGATTTAATATACTAAAAATGTTAATGTTATTTTTCTTTCAATGAATGTCAAATAAACAATTGTAAAAAAAACTAAATCGGTGATAGGATCTTTAGTGCTGTTTCAGACTGCGTTGCAAATGGCATTCACAAAGCACTAGCAGAACACTGTAAAACTGAAGACTTTACTTCTGTATTTAAACTAAAAAATGACTTTCAAAAAAATTTGAGGATATGCAATTTCCATCCTTCAAATATATGTGCAGTCATACACACATAATGCTTTCTAATATCACAGGGAACTGCACACACAGACTGGAGCATGAGGTGGACATAAGTTTAATAATGTTGTTTTTAAGGAAAGTGACACAGAATAATTAATTGTTATTTTGCACAAAGCACGCCAATTTGATTCATAGTTTAATGACATTAAAGCAAATGAGAATGAAGTGAACCAAATATGATTTTTTAAACCCTTTATATATTTTAATTTTCTTATAACAACTGCAGAACTAAAAAAAAAATCAGACTAAGTTAAACTACTAAAGAAAAATACATCATTCTTTGGAAAATTCAACATTTTCTTCAGAAGAAATCCTGCTAATCTGCACACAGGTTTGGGGTTTTTTTATACCAAATGTTCATAAGCAATTCATGAGCACTCCTAATTCTTAAAAAAGTCTACCTAATATTTTCTTTAGGTTTTCACAGTTCCTCCTGATAACAGAACTGTGTCAAGAAATTGGAATTAATTAGTAGCTAGTTGCTCTGCAAGTTGCTTTGCCATAAAAGCAAGGAGGGGAACTAACTGCATATTAAATAATCAAAGTAATCTCAGTTCTGTAGGGACCTGACTTTGCTAAAGGAAGAGACAGGTGAAGAGCTGAGTATGAGTAGTAATGTACAGAGGACTATTCAAGCAGCTCTGCTGGCAGGATCACATGCCTATCTAATGATTACTTTTTTAGGTCTCAGTACTGGAATCAACCTCAAATTGAAAAACTCAAGTGCACTATGTATGCCATGTATGTGTAGAAAGAAATACAGTGTATATGCATGAAAACTAACCTGTCATCAGTGCCGAGATGTGTAATACATGCATAAATGGAAGACTAGATCATACCATATGGAATGCAGTTTTTTCCTAATTACTTTCCTTTTATTAAAATCTGCCCTCCTACTGTTTAATATTTCAGAGATTTACAAATAGAAAGTGTCAAGCCTTCTCCCACATACATTAACGGAGGCTTAGCAACACATAAGAGAATTGGTTCCGAATCAAAAAATATAGACTCACTGTATGAAAAACTGTAAAATAGAATTTTGCACAAAAGCTATTTGGGAACACAAGTAGTAGCTGTTAGCTACAACACATGGGAGTGTCTGCCATACTCTCAAATATAAATTTAGATAAGAAAAGCAGATGGGGAAAAAACCAGAGCCAGTAAACACTGTGTGTGGCAGAAAATAGTTGCATTTACAGTACTATCCAGCTTCTTGAGAGAAGCCAGAGACCTTCCCATGAAATCTTTCTGTGCTTCTAATGCTGTTGCAAAGCTTCAGAGAATTCTAATTGTATAAACAATTATGGGGAAATGAGATTCACTGCAAGACTATGTTCAGCCAGCGGTAAAAGTGATGATTGCATCTCAGCATCAGTCATTTAGAACATGAACTTTCAGACTAGCAATTCATATTGATTTACCACAATTGCCTCAAATTCAACCAGTTAGCAGTTTCTTTTCAGTTTGATTATACAGTCAGATTCCCAAAGCTAAAGCATGTACAGTAGATCTCATTCCTCTGAAATACAGTTAGATGTTTGGTTGTCTTTTGATTTTAAATAATGCAGGTTCTCCAATATTTATATCATGATAAAATTTTAGTGCTTTAAAAATCTGCCCTTCACACAAGCCTAAGCATACATATTTTAAAATGACTTACTGTACATCTTCATATTTTGTTTAAGGCATGAACAATGACATGTGAAAGGGAACAGCTTCCAGAAAAGCATATCTTTTTGACAAAGGCCAGTCCAAGCACATCACACCAAAGGACTAACCTGAAGCCAGAAATGACAGTGTTGTGACCCAAGAGTTTTTAACAAAAATAGTTGAAACAAAATGGATTTTTTCTCTTTTTCTTCCTTTTCTTTTCTCTCCATTTAAATTACATTACTGTTAATGTCTGTTTAAAGCACCAATTGCAGTTTTGTGTTTACCACCTCTTCCGAGTGACTTTGGATAACTCATCTGCTTCTTTTGCTCTGAATTTTCAGAGTATGAAACTTTAAAAGGTTTCTGTTTCTTTTTTTTTTCTTTTTTTATTTAATGGCTGCTGCAAAATTAAAAAGATCCAGAAGTGGTCAGGGGCCTGGTCTAATGCACTTTCAAAAGTCCGTTATAAAGATGAATATAAATGCGAATGATAGGTTTTTCCGTAGACCCACAAACCACGCTTAGCTATAAGAAACATATTGTGCATAGTTATTTTTTTCTTCAGAGTGATATGTTTACTAGATCTACATTCTCAATTTACCAGAGTACAGGAATTTCTACTTTACTAAAGCCAGGATCCTTTCTCAGTTCCCAGTAGGTGTCATTGGTAACCCAAGCTTCTCTTTGATTAGCGTCCAGAACTTTTCTGTAGAAAGAAAAAAAAAAGAAGAGAGAGAAAGGAAAAAAGTTCTCACCATAGATCTCTGCTCATATGCAATATGAAATCAAATTTCATACCTCTCATCTAACCCAATACTAAATCTGATTTCATATCTCTAAACGACAGAAGAAAAGCCAGAGATTTAACAATAAAAATCAACCTCTACCCGTGTCAGAAGTGGAAGGTTTAGAAAACAGCCAAGATTGCAAATCTGTGGTCTGATCTGTGTGAGCAGGTGTTAGAGCCACATAAAGCCTTTTTTACTGTTACAGATTCTGATTATGTGCAGGGGATCAACCAAGGGATCTAGCCTGCAGAACACAAGCTTTTCACCATTTATATCGTTTGTCTCCTCTGTATTTTGCTCATCTTCTACTACAAAACTGCATCAAACACATTCAGTATTTTCACTTTTGACTCCCTATACTAAACATCAGGCTACTTGCTGTGACTATTCCTTGTTTCAGAAGAATGCTTAATTAAAAACAACACACATGCACACAGTGAAAAATAAATAATTTGTAATTTAGCCATGCATATATGCATTTTAGAGAGCGAGAGATATGTACGATGTTTTTGTTCAGGTTACTATTTATTACTTTGTTTATGCAATGACTTAAAATAATAACATAGTTAATTCTTAGATCCTAATATTATCCTTCTATTCCACTTCACAGGTCAAATAACATTGGCCAAGGGTTGCAGCAGGCTTGTGTAGCTGTTGCCCATTGTGAGAAAATGATCTTTCAATTATGAAGTTTTAAACTATGCAAAAATTGCTTCAGGCAGAAATCAGGTATCTGATTAATTTTCCTAAAATTGCCATTTTCCATGCTTTTAGATTAACAGACTATATTGCTGGTAATTCTTGTAGTACTTTGTCCAGTCACACTATAGAAAACAGAGACTACTGAAATGAATAGACTCACTTAAAAAATTTGGGTACATATTCAATGCTGTTTTCTTCCATGTATCGCCTCCGACTTCTCTGGAGTTCCTCTATTCTTTGCTTCTCAGATGCTGCTGCTTCTACATTTCCTTCCTCCAGAAGCCTGTATGAATAACATCAGGTCCTATAGCAATCACACAGTGTCTAGAACAAGGGATTTTCTAGCACAAACCATCACAAAAGACAAGCAGAAACCAAGCCTGTTGTCTGTGTTGTACCCAATTTCAGATCTAGTCATAATCTCATAAAACAAGCATAACCGAGATGTGACTCCCCAGTTACATGTATCTGACGTATAACCTAAGGCACACAGTCTTTAGTAACTTCAGCATATCACAAACATTGAGATGCTGTGAACTGAGAATTAGGAGGGAATAAGTGTTGCTTCCATTCGTAGCAGGAGGGTATGACATTTCAGAGCCTGTTCTTCCAGTTTGTTACAAGGAATCCTACCTCTGCCCAAAGACTGAGCTATAGCTCGAGTATACCAACAAGATGCTTTCTACTTTGCCTCAACTGGGTAAAGCAGAAATTTGATTACAATACTGAATACCTTCTCTGCTAGCAGAATCCTCCAAAGCTTAGTTCAGACTGCAGTGACAACACAGACAAAATTCAATACCCAGCCAAACCAAGCCTTAAAACCACAAATATTAAGTGTATAATAAAGCATTCTTACCTTTGATCCGGTCTGAACCGCGCATCTGTTGCAGGAAGAAGATCCTTCAGTAAAGGATCTAATTCATTGAGCTCAATAGCAAACCTCGTGAAGCCATAATAACGTTCGTAATTGGTTGGCATGGAGCCTGTATGAATATGTATGAGAAAGAAAAAAACTTTAAAAACTATTATTCCAAATATGCAAGAGACTCATTTATTTATTGAATTATAACAGCAAAAATATTAATATATTTTCCTCTTACGTACAATTAAAAAGTATCAAATCTATTCTCTAGGTGGAACAACATTCACTAAATAATAATTTCAACTGCTTATCCTGCAGAGGTTGTAATTACATGCTAATAGATTCAAAAATTTTATGATCCTCCTTCCTTTTTAAATAAAAATTACTGGTTTTAAGATTTTCATGTTAAATATAGTTTCCTGTTCTTCAGAAAGTGGGCTTATCAAATGTCTCTATAAAAGGTAACCTTAACTGATCTTCAGAGTTAATTTTGGAACATAATGCATGCTCACAGACTGATTCAGCACTGTCCAACGCCTTGAGCACTAACAGAAGTCAGAGTAGACATTGCAAAGAGTAGGGTGCAAAGTAGAGCTCAAAATACTATCACTACAGAGTAGGGTTCGAAATGCTAACAATAATGACAATTCCTGGAGAATCACTGTGCATGTATAAAGGACTGTGCATATATGAAGCCAGAAATCTAATTTCCCCAGCAGTATTTTATGTATTTAAAATGATGGCTAAAACAGCTCTACATAGTTTAGGGTTACACTAGTGTCTGCCAGAGTTTATTGCAAGCTTCTTACCTGGCCTCCATATGCATTTGGCTGAAGGTGCAACCCCACAATAAAGGCCTTCATGCCACTTTCCAAAAAGACGATGAACCACCTTCCCTTCTTGATCTATCACAACACCCTGGACCTCATTTACATTTGAATTCCAGTAGTTTACCTGCAATTTTAACAAAGAATTACTAGTACACACTGTTTTCTGCATTATCCATTTCACCAGTACAGATATTGCATGAATCTTACTAAGTGGCACCAACTGTCCGAATTTTGTATCAGAACACCACACCTGGAACCAACAATATCAGATCTTGAAATTCAGATAATCTGAATATTAATTGATTTTTAATATGAGAAAGCCCAAATAATTTGATACATGGTTTTGGTATAAAGGTATTTAAGCACAAATCATAATCTGCAAATGTGGGAACTACCTAAATCCACACAATTCACCAAAAACACTTAGAAAGTTGCAAGATAGAGCCAGCTAACTCTCTTCTTTTTATATGGAGAAATACTGAGTATACACAAATCATTATCTGCAAATGTGGGAACTACCCAAATCCACACAATTCAGCAAAAACAACACTTAGAAAGTTGCAAGATAGAGCCAGCTAACTCTCTTCTTTTTATATGGAGAAATACTGAGTATACCTGTAAATGTAAGGGCAACCTTTGATACCGTCTGCAGCAGGGAAGACGTTCAGCCAGTATTACTTGTTATTTGTTGCTTTCTGTTTCTCTCCTCTGTTTTGATTTTGGTAGACACATTTATTTCTTACACCTTCACCTACTGAGCCAGTTGTCAGTTACCCATTCTCAGAGCATCCATCAAAATATGAATTTCAGATTTACAGCAATGCACCATTGCTAACACTGCAATGGTATTGATGCATTTTGTTGCAACATGAAGACAAACGTATTTTGGGGGAAAATAATTGATAGTAACATAGCTATACAGTGATCTGGTTTTATACATGGTCTAAGGGGCAAAATATTGACTGCCAAATTCTACTAAAGACAGAAGTAAAATTGCACAAAACTCTACAGTGACTTTGTATTTTCACTGTGGTAATAAAAAAGAAATCTGACATTTCAATTTAGCCTAAACCCAACAACAGTACAGCACACAGCTATACAGCAATGCAACACACTGATATCAAATGTCCAATAAAATAGAGTCATAATCCTTGACATAGTACTCTCATTGATCATAAGCCATTTACATATTTACAGATGTTGATAAGACAAAATGTAGAATGTGGATATCAGGAATACTGAAGAAACAGCTTGATACATGCTTAAGTTATGCAGTTTTATGAATATATGATATTAGAATACATATGTTACCTTGACAAATGTGAGTTTACAAATACAAACACTGCTTTTTGTGTTTCTGATAGTTATCTCTCCATAATGTTCTATCCACCTTCTTCCACTAAGAATATTATGTATGCAAGTAGTGACTTTGTTCCAGACGTAGTAGTCTCCGTACCTAAGAACAGATTAACAAGTAGTTGGTAACAAATATTAATCATGATCATTACTGACAAAAAAGTAACACATACCTCTATTATCATAAATACCAGACTATATTCCTAAAGAACTTTTGAAACAATAGCTTACTTGAATAATGCATTGGTTCTGGGTACATTACTAATGCTCCATAGGAGACCTCACTCAAGCTCTAGTGCAGAGAACTGAAGAATGGTGCTATGAACCACAAATCAAGACATTATGAACTACCAAAGCCCTGCACAGCATATTCACTGTCCTCAGAGCATTAAGTGATTTGGCCAGAATTCCTTTAGGGCCCGGACAGTGACACAGAGATCAACATAAGGATGAATTGAGGCTATAAGCAGACAAAGTAATTAAATTACAATTAGAACAAAATAAATATAGAAAGGAGATAACAGAAAAGAAGTAGGAAGCAGGAGCTAACTGGTACATCATCCCTTTCCCTCTGTACCAACTACTTGGGGTCAGACCATTTCTATTGTCAAACAAGGGAATAAAATGAGGCAATTATACTGAGAGCTGAGGGGCAAGCGTGAAGACAGAAGACAAAGATGCTCCCGAGTGCATTTACTTCACCTTCATGAGCTGGATAAAAAGGTGAAGTGGAGTGGTGCCATACTGTTAGAGGCAGGAAAAAAAGGCTAGCTGCACACATAAAGGAGCAGGAATAGTACTGCAAAACCAGACTTTTAAAGTATCCCCTCCTTGCATATTCTCAGTATTTACAACTTGCAACTAGTCTTACCTGTGATGAAACTTCTCACTACTCTGTCAACAGCTGGAGAACGTTTTGACTTATCTACATTTTGAAAAATGACCTTGAATTATTACTAGTGGTTGTTCTGAGGGAACACTTAGCAGTAATGATCACTACTGTACATGTAAAACTTGGGACCTCTCTCCTAAAACATTTCTATCCCCTCTCTATCACTTTTTAGAGAGTTTGTATATAATTCCTCAAAAAAACCCAAATGGATCTTCAGGCTCAAAAATGTTTCAGTATCCCCACCTGTACACTAAGCTGAGATTTGATCTAGGCACTAACTCTCAATTCATGTGATGTCTGCATACACTTCCCTCAATCCATTCAAAAGGCAGCACACCCTTTAGATTGCAGCAAAGACTGAAAACAAAGGAAAGAGGACAGCAGCTTACTTTGGAAGAGTCACATTCAAGGTTCCAACTGGCAGAATTTCCATTGATTTCCCCCAGAATTTGTTTTTCCACCTGATATCTGAATATAATAGTGAAAAGTTTACAAATCTGAAAAGACCAAAGTCTCCCCCCTTGCAGCGATCTGCATGGCACATGAGATGATCTATGCTAGACCATCTGATTTAAAACAGGATGGTATGAGGTTGCCATGAAATTGAAAAAGAAAACAAATACTAGAAAATTACATCAGATCAGAAAAACTAAAGAGAAGTTTGATTTTCTTCTAGGAGTCTTGCCTGTGCTACATTATTGTCAAATCTCTCGTGAAAAGTTTCAATACAAATTAAATGCATATGCCAGTAGATACAAGGAAAGTAAGAGCTGCTTGTTCAACTGTGTAAAAAGAACTGGTTGTGTTTGAATGAAATAATAATTTTCTTGGTAAAAAGCTTTTAAATAGAAAAGTATAAACAGACTGCAAGTGACAAGAGAAGTTGCAACACATCTGCTTACTCTTAAGAATGAGAATTTGGAGTGAAATAATTCAGAGCATCAGTTTGTGATATATTACTATAAAAATAATAAGTATAGAAACTCTGAGTAAGTTCCAAATGCAAAGCTCAGCTTGCACAAAGTTTTTACTTGCCAATAAAAAGAGAGTTTATGCTTTTAAATTAAGAAAGTTTACCTTGCCAAAACACAAAGTTCTTCGATTCACAGTGACAGGCCGAAATGGGAGGATGGTGGCTAACCTGGAAAACAGTTTGGCTGAGTTAAAAACAATTCATTTTCATTTCTAAGAAAATATACTTGTTACTGCAATATGAAAATATTAACTATCCCACACTATTTATTAGCTTATGTTTCTATGAAAACAGATGTAACTTAAGTTTGTATTTAAAACACTATGTACTTAAAACATTTCCTTGTGTATTATTATAAAAATAATAATTTTCTTCTAGCATTTAACAAAGCCTGTTCATAGTAACAACCTTTCCTTACTAGTAAGAAAGCAAACAATTCTAACTAGAAAGAAAATACAAGATTACACTGTAAAACAAAGAAACAAAAACCTAAGTCAAATCAGGAGTGTCTATCTAGAAATGAGCTTTACCTGCTCTGAGAAAAATCGAAATCCTTTGTCTTCTCTAATACATTCATAAGTTTCACCAAGCACTGGGTTAAATGGCTTGCTTCCTGCTCTGAAATACGTAGAGGCATAGCCTGACGCTGCAAAAGCAGCTATGAGAACCTGTAAAAATACAGACAAGAACTTAATTGAGAACAGGCAGATTCTTGTGTAAATGCCATCACTACATGATATCATACAACTCGCTCCACTCAGAGTGAACTCTGGATTAATGAAGCATGTCTGAGAGTGAAGCCATTCATCACAGCCAGAACCAGAGTAAAGTGTATTTCTTTTATTGATATAACTCATTTTTCTTCATGGTGTCAGTCAGTCTCTTTCAACAGTCCTCTAAAATAACAGCCTGCACAAGATACTGTTTTCCTACCTTTAACCAGTCTTATCATTAATGATCTAAAACACAGACCCAGCTCTAGTTAGACTTCTAATTATAAGACTGCATACTATTTTCCTATGGGAACTATTTTATTTAGTGCCAAACATAAACAGTTCTCACTTAGGATGTCCTCAATGCAAAGTTATCTCAGGATCTTCCACAAATGTGCAGCCTTATCAGCCCCCTTCTCTACATGTACAACCAAAATTCAGTAACCTCTAAATCAGGCCTAATTGGGAGTAAGAAGATAAGTGACATGCCATGGTAGTTTAGATTACAGCTCCCCTTAGCAGCATTAAAGAGAATCACAACAGGAACTCAGAAGTCCAAACAAAACTTCAGAAAAGCAATACGGGCATAAAAATCACTCAGCTATGGACAATCTGCTAACAGTAGAATGATCTTTAATCAGGTCCTTCTCTCTTCATGCTAGCGAGGACATAACTCATATGAGCTTTTACATGCATTGTTTTCTTCTAACTGTGTAAGGGGTGCTCCATTCTCTATTCATTTAATACTATTCATACATTGCCCACAGTGCTGCCAACGCATACCAACGAACAGTAGATAAGCTCAGCAACAATGCTGCCAACTTTCCCCTAACAGCCTTTCCCTGTTTCTTCTGAGGAAAAGGAGACATGACAGATCAAAATCCCCTGAGAGCTGAACATAGGCTGTTGGCTGTCAGTTAAAAGATAAGACATACTTACCGGGGACCTGAAGTCAGGCTGCCCGGGCAAACTTTGTTTTGGTGTTTTGGAACTTCTCTATCAAAAATTGCCTAGGATGACATCTTACTGACACCTACATTGGTCATAAGCCAGGAGAGTATGCTGCAGGGTTAGAAACTGCCAATGCCTATATATACAGTCTTCAGATCAATGAGTCACAATTGCAGGACTTTGTTTGACGCCAAGAAAAGTCCCTCAGCCTTGTTCAGATCTAACCTACCACCTGTGATTGTTCACAGCATTTGTCTGACCCAGCAGGAAGGTCTGTTGTCTGTGAACAGCAAGAGCAAGAGAAGACCCTGCACTGACCTTCACTCAACAGCTTCCTTTTTAATACAGACATAAGAAGTGCGACACTAAATTTATTACCATGCGTTCATAAGGATCATCTGTTTCAGCAGCCTTGTCCAACAGTTCACTGTATTCCAACTCTTCACAAAGATGTTGCAAGGTATTCAGAGGTTCATTTAGCTCAACCGGCATGGATACTTTGGAAAGATCCTTGCCAATGTTATTTCTCAAAATATTCCACAGATTGATGTTACTGGTGTCAGGGCTGGGAGCTGGGAGACAAGTTCTTCGTCCATTCCTGAATGCACCTCCTGTTAGCTCACCATTAAGAACTAGAAAAGGAAAAAACTCTTATCACAAGAAAGCACCACATTAAGAAAAACAGACTTATCAATTGAACCAAATCACCACCTGAACAAGTAAGCCCAACTCTACTGATTTCAGCTGTGTTTGTCTTGTACAGACGTACAGTAAAAGTGGTACATAAACATAACCAATGTAATTTCCCAAAGTTTAAAACATAGCAGTATACTTTGCCGAGAAATGTTGTCTGCAACACTGGTGTTGTCCTCAGATATATTGTCACTCACATCACTGATATAAGATTCATCATCAGAAGCCTAAAACATAAATAATATATCAATTAAGTCAAATACATAAAAAATATACTGTCAAAATAGGAAAAAAAACAATTAACTGAAACACAAATATTCAAAGAAATCTCTACCCAGTAAGAGCTTTTAACTAAATCAAATGGATATTTCGATCAGCCCATACTGCCAGTGCACTAATGGTGTCAAAACAAATGCTGTGCTCTCCTTATGTTTCTGAATTCCTTATTATGAAGGCAAATACAGACATTAAATTTGCACAAAAGGATGACTTCAAATGAGATCAGAGATGAACAAAAAATTGACAATGTAATGCACTGGAGATGGGAGGTGAGAAAAGACAGATCTGTACTCTTTATAAAGAACTATAAGACTCAGCTTGTGTTTCAGAAAAATTTATAAACATAGACCTATCATTTTGTAAAACAAGAACTACATCAGTGTTAAGACTATTTTTAAGATTTTTTTTAACCAAAGATTTTTTTTTCAGAAGTATTAGTTTCAAAATATTTACTGATGACAGAGTATTTACTATAAGGTCTATAATTTGAGGGTGATTTTGTAAAGTTTCCATTTTGTTTATACCATACAGACACATCAGTTTTCCATGCTGATACAGAAAACCCAGACAATTGAGATAACATGTACTTTACGCCTGCCAGAAGCAATAAGATAAGGAACCATTCCATCCTTTAGATGGACAACTCTAGCCACGGCTGTGCCAACTCATGGTACATAAGCAATTCTTGTCAAAGCGAAAATACGGTGGTACACTCTTATTTCCTCTTACAGAAGAGTTGTGGTAGACCACAGCACTACTGTGGCTCTATAAAAAGGTACATAGAAAAGTAAATTTTTAAAATGGAAGAATTTATTCAGGATAGCACAGGAAAGCTACGAACAGCAACATGACTCAGGAGCCTGAACCGTATTTGACTGCTTCAACTTTGAGCTTGAGTGAGAGAATTTTTCAGGCTTTTGTCTATTTCTCTGATTATAGAGAATAATTTTGTATGTATACAAGGATTTTTTTTCTTAAAGAATATTTTAAACACTAGATTAGTTGACTGCATAGTCAGGCATAATTGCTCTTGTCTATGTCACCCTTATCTGAAACTGCCATAGTCTGGCAAGGACAGGTACTGCGCAGAAGTTACTGATACAAACAACTTTCAACTCAGTTTTACACTTCAGGGAACTTCTGCACTCCATCACAAGGGAGTCTCAGGTTCATTTCTGTACACCTTACACATTCTGACACCTTTTTATTCTAAGTATCATTATAAAAAGTAAAATAAATGACTAATGGTAGCAATATATAAATCTGTCCAACAGCAATGCTGCAGCATGCTGTCACAGCCTACCTCGTTTTCTGATGAGCTGGCAGATAGAAGCACTTCTTGTGCATCAAAGAACTCTGAAACAGATTCAGACATAGAGAGCCTGCTCTCATTAGAAACTTGCTGAGACAGTGGCAAACTGACATGAATTTGTTCACCCGTCTGTAAATAAAGCAGAGAAAAATAAAAGTATTCTTTCTAATATAAAATAAATATGCATAGAAGGGGTAAATCACCTGAATAATCCTTCTATGCCGAATGTAAGCACAGATAGTGAAGACAGCATTTTAGTAGGACTTTGTATGTACTTAACAGATGGGACTCCAATAATTATAAAGTGCATTTTGAGCAGTGCGATATATGTCGTCATCTGAGGCCTGGTCACCATCAACTGCTAAGTTTTAGCAGCACAAATAATCACAGATCTAGTTCTGTATCCAGAGGAATTATTTTGTGGACAATAGTTGGATTGTGTCAGACAACTTGAACCATGAAATTCAGATGAAAAGACACCTGGTCATAACAAAGTACATCACTGGGAGCTAGCCTTGATACAACCAAAACTCAAACATAAAGTTTTATAAGTTCAGTGACTTATAAGTTACTTTCAAAATAAATGTGCTTGTGAACCAGTTTTATTATCAAATGTTTGAATATTCAAGAGGATGCTAGAATATATATTTATGTGCTTTTATTCCATGTTTGCACTCCAAACCTCATTTAAATTATGCCCTTAACACTGACTCAATACCACTAAAGGGAATGCACTCTCTATGGTTTATTACAAAGAGAATTTAACAGCAAACACAAGATTCTCTTCCTGTACCATTCCGCTGAAGGAGCTACCGCTGTGGAGGGAAACAGGCTTCTGACTTAATCCCTTCATTTATACAGCATGATGCTTCTGGGAGATAATAGAGATGAAACTGCTGAAGCCCTTCTAAACACAGTTAACTCTTCAGGTTGCAACTCCATTCCCATTAATCTTACTACAAAAGTCCTGCAAATGGTTTTGTTGGCATCTTAATCCTGTAGAATTATCCTACATATTTGCCTCAAAATGCACTAACAAAAAGAAACAACCCATAAACAAGCCAAAAGGTCAAAACCCATTCCTTTTTCATTGAGGCTTATAAGCTTGTATATGGTTTGTGATGTTTGATGAATTATAATGGGAACAGAAGCTCATTTCACTGTTATCTTTACAGGAATTGATTAAAATTTTAAGTTTTGGCATAACTGAGAGGGACTTGGAAAAATACATATGCCCCTACCTGAAAAAGATGCTCATGCAGGCATTATCTACACACTGCAAGATTATATATATAAAGCAATCAAGAGAAGAAGTGAATGAGAGATCTGGGAAACTCCTTCAGTAAGAAACACTCGTACTGAGATAACAACGTACATATGAAAAAGGAATGGCTAACCAACAAAAAATACTAAATAGAAGAGATAGTCATTACTCAGAACTCGACTGCAGGTTGCTGTGCTGTGGCACCACTTCATCACTATCTTCTATTGCTAGTCTCCAACATGCTGGGCTTTTGGAAAAATTGTTTGCACATTTTCAAAAGCAAATAAACAAAAGTAATTGGAAATGTATTTTCACCTTCCCTTCTTGTTGTAAGAAATAATCAGGAGACAAGAGTATGTTAATTGAAATGGCATATGAATAGAAAAAAATAGTGGAAATGACAAATGAAAACTATTTTGGTAAAATGCAAGCAGAATGATCATCAAAGAGATCACATTAATTCTAACATATTACAGCTCACAAATTCAGAGTTGTTTTTCTCATGAGGGAAGCTGACTTGTTATTAATACAAATGTTCAGTAATCTGTTGACTGAGGAAAGAAAACAAGAAAGACTAGATGATGCAAACATGATATTAGTATTGTGTTTGGTTCATATAATGAAACCTTTGATTTCAGCAGTGCCACTCAAGATATTAAACATCAGGCCCTTTAAACACCTGCATGATCAGATCGCTAAATACTGAACTGTTCTGCTGATCTGGCAAGAAACTAAGATACAGAATTGGTTAGCTACCGTGTGTTACATTCAAATACAGTAAAACCTCACTAATTCCCACAGCCAACAATTAATATTCCAAAAATTGAGTCCTGCCCTGTTTCTCTCCAGAGACCAAACTGAGTTCTTTCATGAGATCTGACACACAAAATAAAAGACAGAAGTTTTATTTTCTGTAGG